GTATTTGACACACAACGTGAAACAAAAACACACAAGATTAATGTGGATGAATATTAGACACTGACAAGATGCATTCAACAAAAGAAAACAAGTGTGCAAAGATACCACTCAAATACATTGTGTATTCCATGTGTTGTGCTTTTTATGCTTTCACGTGTGTGGGGGCGGCTTTGGCTCAGGAGGTAGAGTGGTCGTCGCCCAACCAGGTTCAATCTGTGTTCACTGAAGCCCAAAAGTTGCTCCTGAAGGCCAGAACAGTGCCGCCATCGGTGTGTGTGTGTGTGAGAGCTGGCGCCACAGATGGCTGCCTTGGACGTGTGTGTAACACGCTTTGCCAATAAAGTGATTATCATTGTGTGTGTGTGCATCAGACCTGGAATTTCATGTCAGCATAGGCCTTCTCAGAGCTGAGCTCCACCTGTTTCTTGAACTGCTCCAGTGCCATATCTGCCTGCTGGATCTGCTGCATTTGGCTCTCCCTGGTTCTGTCCAGTTGGCTCTCCATTTCCCTTCAAAACAAACACACACGAATATATGTAGCTACAGAAATGCAATTGCAGACCAGGAACCCAGAAATACTTCGCTACGAAAGTGGATTTTTTTTTTTTTAGAACTTCTCAAAACAGTCATCATTATACATTGTTTTCAAAAAGGAAGAAAAGAGGGAAAATAGAAGATGGTTGTCTAAACATATCAAAAGAGTAGAAGTTAACGATAATGCCTGTTTTGCACACACAAGGCAAGAGGCTTGGCTAATATTGGTGTGTTTTCTATTTCTTGATTTCGACCAGTGAAATCTCCAGCAGACTAGCAAGGCATCTTTTCAGATTTTACATAGTTATTTTGTCACTTTGGTTTTATAATATAATGTAGAGCAATTAGGAAAGTTATTTTAACACATTGTTCCACAATATCTATCAATTCACTTCATGTACTCTCAGCTTGCTGTGTGTGTCTTCCATGAGGATATGCTGCTGACAGTGCTGGCAAATGTCATGTCACAGAGTTGCATGTGGAGTGGATTGACACGCATACTGAGAGGGACAGCCTCGTACTGAGGGCTGTCAGAGCCCACCCAAGGGGCCTAGCTGTGGCATCATATACAGGAATACCAAGCAGCTGTCAAGCCCAATCCTCAGAGGGTGTCCCTCCCCACACACCCCACATGGATAAAGGGTTAAAAAACAATTAGTATGAAGATGTTATTAGTGTAAAGCATGTGTAAAGCAATATATCACAGACAGTGATCACATACTTGCTGTATGTACAAAATTTTATTTGTGTGTAAAGTCAAACTTTATATAATAAAGTACAATGTAAAAAAACACAGTATGTAAACAGAAACTAAAAATGGAGAGGAAAAAAATCCTCCAATATAAAGAGTATATAATGTGAGGAGCTCACTCTTGACATAAGATTCAATTGGGTCATTTTTAAAATGACTTTATTATTCAGTGTTGTCTTAATTGATTATAATTATGACAGTGTCTTAATACAATTAAGACAGCACTGAATGATATGCAGTAAACATTTGGCAGTAATATTATCCCAATTTTTGACAGTAGGATGGACTTTGGCTACACATTGTACTTATTACTCACCTTAAAGACATGTTAAAAATGACCTATTGATCCTGAGGTCAAAAGTGAGCTCCTCACGTGCATTATAAAGGGTACACCTTAATGAAATACTGTTGAAATTGTCACACAAGATCAAAATGTGTGTGCAATTGTGTTAAAGTTGTACTCCAAACTTCAACATCAAGTATGGTTCTTTTCTCTATGCAGCACAAGTGCTGTATGGTCCCTAGTTCAGTATTCCAGCTGGTGTACAGCTTCCAAGACCCTTCTTCTGATTGATGCGTGAAGATGACAATGTCGGGGAGAGAATCTGACTGGGTGTGCATGCTTTTTAAAGTGTGTGATATGTACGTACAGTGCTGTGTGTTAGTGTGCTCCATCCTAAGTTAATATAGCGTATGGATAATTATTCCCAGAGGAAAGATAAGCAGGAGAAATAATGCATTTTTGGCCAGTGGGTGAAACTTTAAACTAATTAGAAGAACAACTACTAACAGGCGACTGGTGGGGGGGCCGACTAAGATGCTGATCTCCACATATTTATCTGTATTTCGCAAAGGACTGTCAAGTGTCTGTGTGTGGAGCAGGTAGCATTATGAACACGCAACACAGAAACACATATCACAAAGAGAATCACCGCCTGCACACACACATTCACAAAGTTAACATTTTGGTTAAGTGATTAGTGACTTCACATAGTCAAAGCAACAACTATAAGTCTCTAAAAAGGCAGAACACCGACTGAAAAAACAGAAACAGAAAAAAACAGAGGGGATAAAAACAGCAAAAAGAGGCAATAAAAAACAGCAAAGAACAGAAGCTGAGGATTGGAAAAAGAATGTGCAAGCTTTCTCTCCTCTTTATAGTTTTCTGTCTCTTTGTAATTTTGGTCTCTCTCATGTCGGACATCAAACGACAACATTTTTTCTCTCTCTCCCAATTTTGTATACTCTATAATTATTAATCAGTCTCGTTGCATGATTGCCTTCTGGGCTCAGACAGACACAAAAGGATATGTAGAGAGACTAAGATAGAAAAAGAAAGAAAGAAAGGGAAAGGGGAGGAAGAGACAGAAGAGAGGATGTCACAGAAATAGTATAAGTTTTTTAAACTTCCGAGCCAGAGCAGAAATGATTTGGGTGTGTGTGTCTTGCTGTGCACGCGTATATGGGCCTTTGTTCATGAGCCACAGTTCCAAACTCCGTGAGTGACTGACAACTTGACTCAAAGAATGCACTATGACTAAGTTGGAGCTGGCTGCTGGGCCTCAACCTCTGAGGAGACACTGAAAAGTTCACTGCAACTATCTTCAGGCATTTGACAGATTGAAGCATATTATACTTTAAACTGAGGAGCGCAGGTGAACACACGGCACATTCAGTGATTCCTGGGAAAATAACTGTGTTTCTGTGTGCACATGAATGTGTGTGGTCACTGGACCAGTAGACAGCACGTCACCATGTAAGGGTGAGATGAGAGGACAGAGAAAAAGTGTCAGTGAGGCCTAGCAGGGAGAAACAGAGAGGGAAAGGAAGCAGAGGGGTGCCAGTGCCGGGGCGGCCCGTTGGCTTTAAATGGATCTTTGGTCAGAAAAGTGGAAGGAGAGGGAGGCTCAAATTAAAGATGTGCCTTCTCTAAAGAGGAAGTCCTCTATTACCTCAATCCTAAAAGGCTGCTTAAATGGGGAGAAAGAGAGGAAGGCGAGGAGAGAGGAGTGTTTGTGCTAGAGAGGGTGAAGGAGCTTCCACCATCCAGCCGCCTGGCAGACAGGAGGGGATGCGAGGATGCCCGTGTTTTCCGGACGGCCCTAACCACAAAATGCCACGTGCTGCCTGAGAACGAGTGTGCAACACGTGCTGGATATAGAGACACAAAAAACTTATTGTCTATAAATATACAGTTAATGGAAGAGTGCACATTAAAGTCGGCGCACAGAAAAAAACACTTCAATTGCTTATGCAAATATTCCTTTCACATAAGCAGGGTATTTAAGAATCGTATGGACTGTAATTGATGTTGATGGAGCAGCATATGGAAAAGACTAGCGAACAGACTAGAACGCATGCTCGCATGTGGATGCCTCTAGTCTCTAGTATAACAAGACAGAGTAAGAGTGTGAGTACATGTGGTGTGTGCACAAGTGCATGTGAGTACCCGCGCATCTGTGTCTGAGCTCATTCAAACGGAATGATAACAAATCCACAGACACATCAAAGAGGCGTGGAAAAAAGCGGGAGCACATTAAAAAAAAAGAGAAAATGCAAAACTGAAATATTCGGCGTCCTCTGAAGAAAAAAATAAAACAGGCTTAGTTTTCATCCACATCCCCCGAGAAAGACAAAGCGAGAGAAAAACAGACAGAGAATAAGAGACAGACCACAAATATGGAATACAAAAGAGAGACAGCACAAGGGAAAGAAAATATTAAAGACTGAGAGAAAGAGTTGAAAAAGGAGTAGAAAACAGAATCATTGAGCTTGAAGGCTTTAAAACTGCCTACAAATGTGGCCTGTTTACACATGAAGATATGAAACCAAATGGCCACAAGAATGAGGCATCATTATTACTATCCTTCACCAAAAAGTGCATCAGTATATAGCAGTCATCTGGGTGTTTGCAGAGACCAGATTCTTCCTCAGTTTGTATTGCTACCAGCTTCTTCAACAAGAAGACAGCATTACACAGTAGTGGACTACTAACTTTCCCTCACACTATGTAGCTTGAGGCAGCAATGTGAGTTACTTTATCTTCTATAACTTCTGAATAAAAGACACAACCTTTTAGTATAGGACGCTTACTGCAAATAACAGGCACATCACAGCAGACGTATGTTATAAAAATGTTGAGAGAATTTCTTGTCTTCGCTGTGCATTTAGATGCTATTTGGCTTCCTGAATTATGCAGCCCACAGCATAATACACTAAGACAACTAGGCAAAAGTCTCTAAAGTAAACAGACCCTATTTAAATATCCCAAATGCTACACAATGGAAAAAGAAGCTGGAAGGTTTTTAATCAAATTATGAAAGCCCTAAAGACAATCTATTGAGACTGGGTTATTTCAGAGCATAAATCAACTGAGCCAATTTTGGTATGAGCTTCTTGAAAAAAAAAAAAGTTACATTTGGTTATGTGTAATAATCATGTAGGCATGGCGCTGCATTTAACAGCACAAAATTGTGATGTAAAATATCAATTAGGGACAAACACTAAATGATCTGAGATAATGCTTAAGTATTTTTTCAGAGCAGAAACTCATTATCTGCTTCATTATCTATCCATTTACTTCAGACTTGCTTCATTAGACATTATTGCAGTGATACCAGATGATAGCTTAGTCTTACACCCCTATTAACTTTGAACCCCAGAAAAGAAGAAGAAGAAAAGCTTTTCTTGTTGATATTTGAGATACTGAACTGGCACTTAACCCATATCCATCCTATTTCTTCAGTGCAGTTGCCATGGGATTAAATCGTGAGCCCCAGTGAAGCTTTTCAATATTCAGGATCCATACCTCCACCTGCACCTGCACCTCAACACTAACTAGGCTGCATACAGCAGCTCCTGCTTGGCTACCTCTGGTCCCTCTGCAGACCACCACCCCTGCTTCCCTTCATCCCACCGCCATGGGAGAGGAATGCTGAGGAAGATAAGACTACATCAAAGAATCACACAGATGTAGGGTATGCATGTGCACACACACACACACACACACACACACACAAAATACCATGAAAAAAACATATTGGATGCATCCTACATCTTTAAGAGTTGAGGGGCTCTATCTTGCATGATTATGGTTATGCATGCACAAACTCTAAGGAAGAGTTCTAAGAAACAATGACAGATAGAAAAAAGACACACACAGTTAATAATCTGCCAGACCAACTACTTAGACATCTAATGATTACAAATAAGAAATGTGTGACATAAAAAAAAACATGCAAATGAAACAATAGAAAACAAACAACATTAAATTAGGGTGAACGGAATTTGACTGAAGACACGTGTTAGTATAAGTTCTACACACCATCCCACCCCTTTTGACACTGCGTGTCTCAACAGATTTGGACAGGCACTCACAGCGCCCATGTGCAGTCACTCAGGAAGGCAATCACACTTTCCCTCCAGCTGCCTGAAGTACAGATGCTGCTCCTGCCACTCCAGCCAGCGATGATTAAACTGAGCAGAAGTTACTGCAAAGAGACCATCAGTTGCTACAACCCTGAACCACACCTTAGCAGGCACATGGTTTTGATAAAGCCAGGAAGGAGGAATGGAATTCTAGAGCAGAGCATGTGGAGAGTCTTCAGAGTGAGAAAAACAATACTGTAATCTAGAAATAGACCAGCTGTCTTTCTTTACCCCTACTTTAACCATTCAGGTGGGGTTCTGATGTTTTTAAATTGTGATTTGAAGGTCATTGTTGCAAAAGCAGGCAAGCTGTTACCCAGATGAGCTCCCTCCATCTCTTCCCTCCCCCCCACCCACTGTGGTGCATCTCTCCATCTTTATGCTAATGCCCTAAAATGATCTGAGCCACGTTGGGATGAAAGAAGAGGAGAGAAACTTGTTCCCTGCACAGCTTTGTAATGCTTTCTGTTGTTGTTGCTATAGTAACGTAGACCTGGAACTCAAATTGATGTAGCAATGCCTATTTGCATGACAGCACCAACTGATTTTCTTTTTAAACTGGAAAGTAAGAGCGGGTATAAACAATGGAAAGAAAGGGGTGTGGATAACATATGAACAGTGGCCATCAGAGCTGCCAATGTATTCATTGTTTTTCTAATCTTACACAGAGGAAATAAAATATAAAAATCTACAGAAACTGTTATAAAAACATCTATGTTAAGTCACTTTTAACAGTAGATTGTGTGTGCCAACATACACACATCAAATACACATCTTCATCTTAAAACAGTGCACATACCACACGGTTTCTGGCACATTAAAGGCATATCAAGCAATATTACTTGTTTAATTTTATCATCAATCCTTCCATCTTCACACACACACACACACACACCTTGGCATGCAGTCTTGCTTTGACTTTGAAGTTCTCCTGGTTCGCCTTTAAAGGCCACCAGTGTTGCCACGGCAGCAGGCAGGTAGCAGACATCAGGCTGCATGTGTGAGAGCAACGCCTGAGTGCATGATTAGCTAAGAGCCTGATGGGCCACTTGCCGTTTCTCTGTGTTTAACACTAAAAAAGTGAATGACTGTCTCGTTACTGATACTAACAACAAGGGTAATTTATGCAAACGGCTCTGTCTACAGTGTTTAAGCTTGTCCTCTGCTGCCACGCTGACAATGACAAGCACAAACAATAAGCAGGCATAGTCACCACTGTCCCTTTGTAAAATTTACTGAATACTAAATGCCACAAAATCGCCCAGTTTCTGTTATACTGGATGTTGTCTTACATTGACAGAAACTCAAAGAAACAGTGATAGTAAATATGTTCACCTAAAAAAGTTGCCCTTGCTTTCACTCCACTGTATCTTGCTATTATATTGTGACAAACAGTTGGAAACCTTTCAAGGGTGGTGATGCCGCTGCCTTGGCTGTGTATGGTTGGAACTAGAGATGAGGTTGTTGAATGGGCTGAGCCGGCATTGTGTTTAATTGTGCACAACACATTCTAGTTTTGCCAGGAAAACTGTAATCTGCTTGTGACCATGTAATGAGGATCTGTATGGGATTAATTACCCAGTGGAATGTATTGACTGGCTGACTGCTTGGCTAGCTGATTGGCTGGAGGCTGTAGAAATCTAGGCTATTAGCAGTGTTTGCTTGCATAGGTCCAGAGGGAAGGGAGTAATAGACCTAAGGGCAGAGATACAACAAGCCAACATGAAAGAACTAGCAGCGACCTAGGCCGACTGTTGGATCGCCTCACGCCACCTCTGTCTGGGCCAGTCGGATTTCAAAAGTAGCACTTGAACCTGCACAGACTACAGCCAAAGGCCAATTAGCACGTATGCTCTGCACCTGTGTGAGAGAAATAACTCTCCCTGCCAGGATGTGGCTGTATCTGTATTCATTCAGAACTTGATAGAAGAAGAACTAGACAGTAGAAATACAAGATGTAAACAAAGCAGCTCTATCAGACCTACAGTTTAGGTAAATACAATTGTTAGGTAATTTCTTAGTTAGATAGATATTGATTAGAGATCTGTTGTATTAGAAAATGTTAGTGTAGCCAGGATGTCTTGCTCAGGCTGTTAAATGCTCAGTTCATTGTCATGAGTTCTGCAGGCTGCATCTAGGCCAAGGTCAGCTAGATTGCAGAGTCTGCCGGCAGGATGAATATTGCTAGTAGCATGATATGCTCCTTCCGTAATCTTAATCATAACATTTTCCGAGGCTTACTGTTCGGACATGTCCCTGAATGTCCTGTATGTTTTTAGATACACACCACTAATCAACAGCCACACACTTGAATTTTCTCCATGTTTGACTACTGCTCTGGTCAGCTGCATAGCTGGCATATCAGGTGACGTCACGGTTTGACGTGGCCTGTGTAGGATGGGGCTAGCCCAACGAAGTGATTAAATTGTATAGAGATCTTGGGTTCAGGGTCTTTCTTCTTCTGGGCTGCCTGCGCGCAGTTTTGGGGGTGGAAGATGCCTGGATGTGTAATGTTAATTCTTGCCTGTGACTCCTTGAATAAATCAGCACGGTTATATTTTTTTATATACTCAAGTGGTCCGCTTCGTCTCACTGAGTTCCTGGTTTGAAAGAACCGGACGTGGCTTTATAATAGAATAGAGCCTTTACAATCTAAAGCAGTGCTCTTACTTAACAGTTTGTCTACCCATGCATAACACTGTAACACATAAAACCATCACGGCAGACACACTTCCGCTGCCCACCTAATCATGTAATATTAACACCAGCGTCCTAGTCAATGGCGCCACAACTTTAACACTTGAATTCATGCAATAAATGCCACTTTTGGCTTGGCCTTTCTCACTGTACCTGAGGGCATCTTCTAGTTTGGCTATCTTCCTCTTAGCCTCTGTTTTCTCTTTCTCTGCCTCACTCTGGGCTGCTAAAACCTGAGAAAGAGTGAGAGAGAGATGGAGAGTTGAAGAAAAAAGAAAAGAGGTGTGAGTAGGTGCAGATTGTCTGTGATCCTGTGCATCTGGTGTTTTCTCTTCTCTCCATCATCCTATCTGAGCCTATGTGCCTCTCACTCTGGATCTATGGCAGCCATATGGGCCTTTCTCATATCCACATACTGTACTTTGGTCTCCTTCATGTGTCTCGTTTAGCATTCCTGAGGAGGGGAAAGAGGAAACAAACAGGAAAATGAACAACTAACTTCTCTTAAGCAATGTTTTAATCTCCTGTCACCTTGCAGAAGGACGATCAAAGATAAGGGTTGATTATAAGGATGGAATAAAAAAAATAGAATACATTTCAGCAAAGCACAAAGACCCCTAAAGCAGTGTACTGACTTTCTTTTAGAGAAATTCAATTTAACATGTCCCTGACTATAAAATAAAGTCCACAACACAGTAAGTTCTTGCAGGTCTATCAGCCGCCTCTGGTTATGCCAGCACGCCACTAAGTCACACGCTGTAACCGTGGCACTTTGAAGATGACCCAGGTGTTTAAACCTGATCTTCACCTAAGAAGTCTGGTCGGGTCTGGCTCAGCCCAGATCATTAACAATGATCTTTGTAGTCTATGGTTTATGACTATGCACTATGGCTTTGAAGATGTTCTCAAAACTAAAGAACTGGGTGCTAAGCGTGGACCCGGATACACTGACAGTGGATGTTTAACGCAGTGAAATGTCTTCATTTGGCAAATGACTCTGCAAAAGTTTATTTGGATTTGCTTATAAATCTCATTCTCATCTCTCTTTGCCTGATAACTCTTCTGCAGAAATCATTACATTTCCATCCACCTTCACATCACAGCTCCAATTTTATGAGACCAAACACAAGATCTAAAAGTAAGGGAAACCAGAAGGAGCAAGTGACTCCAGGCTTCGATCTCCACTTGACCGTAATCACTTTGTCCAGGGCTCCTTTAATGCAACAACAGAAGCTCAGTGGATCAGTTTTCTTGAAGGAGCCAGCTACACACTACCTTTTTCTCACAGTTGATCTGCAGTTCATTGTTTTCTTGCTGAAACTTTATCTCTTGATCCTGAAAGGAAGAAGTAGTGAGATAATATAAAATGAGTTATGTGTGACAATGAGAAATACTTTCACGCATAAACAACATATTGTACGAAAGACTTACTCAGAAATACACCCACAAAGACTAAGCCACTCCTGATTCTTACTAAGAATTTCATAGCTAGTATGACTACAGCGACAACAGAAAAGATGCATGTTGCACTGTGTATAGATGAGTTACGCATGCAAACACCAAGACGTGCGCATGTACACATTACACATACCCTGACTTGTTGGTGTCTTCGATGTTCGCTGTCCTGCAGCTGCTGCTTGAGCTGAGCTGCATTTTTCTCCAAACTTTCTATCACCTCAGAGGCCTGAAAGAGAGAAACAGAGAGTAAACTGGTATAAATAAATAAGACTACATTTGTAAAAGGCTTTGTATAATACATCAATCAACTATAATTTAGCAGGCTGGTGGAGAGAGTAGGTAGTGTTGTGGTAATATGGACCTTAGCAGCAGACAAAGCATGTTCCTGATATAAGTGGCTCATGTCAGTCTCGTGTTTGGCTTGGAGCCTCTGGATGGTCTGCTCATACTGCTCACTGAGCTGCTCCTTCTCCTTTTGCAGGATCACGGTCCTATGGACAATTAAGAGTTTGATATCGACTGCATGGTAGGTGGTTATACATACATTGTGCTATGTTAAACTTAAATTCTCAAGCAGACATGTTAAAATAAAGTGTTTTAACATACTAGTTATGAAAAGTTTGACACATACATCAGCTTTACATAGCTTTGTATGGGCAAAAGCATTAGTATCCTCTTCGCTATTATACATTTCTTCACCCGGTATCTCTTTTTTCACATGTCAAACAGTTCCTGACCGTCTGTTGGCCTCCTGCAGTTCTGTGCTGATGGATGCAATTTGGATCTCCAACTGGGCTTTCTCCTGTGTCACCTTCTGACGCAGTGCATTGCCCTTCTCCACCTCCACCGACTGCTGCTTCACCTGCAGCTCCAGCTCGTGCACCATTTTCTCCTGGATCACATAGATACAGAGAAACCACTAAAGCATACAGCTTGAACCACTGAGTGGACTGCATGCTCTGACTGGCTTATGCTGATATTCTCCAAAGATCTGTAAATCATCAGCAGTGAAAACATCTTCTCCGTAGAGGCTGTACCAAAGGTCAGACCAACAGAAACCCCTTCAGCGCTACACAGAGAAAGATCTCCATCCATCCATTCATTATCTATGCCACTTATCCTAACGAGGGTCACGGGGGGGCTGGAGCCTATCCCAGCTGACACTGGTACACAGGGCTGACACTTAGAGACAGACCAGAGAAAAGACCTCTGCAAGTGAAATTATTTACATCAAGTGTACAAAAATTCAACTACAGCAGCTCCTGCGATGCCTTTGAAAATTTTCTGGGACTCTGCGTCTAAGCTAGGATCTCACCCTGTTGTAGTGCTTTTCCCATTTGAAAACCTTGGCACCATAAAAGTATTTTTAACCTATTATAATCTTTATTAGTTATGTTAAAAAAATCTCACTGAGTGTATATACTTACACTTAATGTTTATTTTCTTTTTAAAGGTTTTTCATTCTTACATAAGCTGGAGTCAGTTGATCGCTACAGTAGGCCAGTGTGTTGTTTTAAAAATTACCGATAACCTCAAAGTCTGGCCATGTTTATTAAATGAAAATGAATGTGAACCTTTGGTTTCACAAATTTACAAATGTTCTGAGTTGGTGGTAATGTGATGTAACTGGCAGCATTGTGGCAATAAAGGCTGTGTAAAAAATGGCTATGCAAATGTTTTGAGGTGGTTAAGCATAGGTTTCATTTAAGAATAAAGACTTGAGATATTTTGTGCCTATATAACGTTGACAGTACAGAGGACAGGAAGTTGAGGATTAGACTATCAGGCCAGGCTTTCTGGAGAAACTGTACTGGAAATCTCAGTTGTGTGCTTGAATCTTATGAACTTGTGTTCCAAAAATCTGAATGAACTGATCATATGTGTGCCAAGAATGGGGGGAAAGTTGTTTCACTATTACTGAATTCAACATACCCAAAGCTCAATCAGGATTGGGATTTTCAATAAAGACAATGATCACAATCAATCTAATACAGACAGCTTCAGGCAGTGGTTTAATGAAAAGAAAAGTCCCCGCTTTTGTGTGCGTGTTTGTGCATATGACAACGTGGAATGCAGTGTCGGCCAGCTGATAAGGGCAATGACAGGGTGCTGATTAAAGATGGAGCGCGCCAGTTGACCGAGACGATGACGGAGGCTGGCAATGACAGAAGGTGGAATGATGGAAAAGAAGGGAGCAGTGTTTGAAAGAGTATGAGTGCAGCACTCAGCAAAACTGGTGAAAGAGATTTTAGTCTTTGTGTTAGCAGTGCAGGGCGCTAAGGAAAAGGAACAAGGGGCCTGTGTTGTGCCAGGACATGCGCTGACACTTGCTCTCTGGCAGGAGATGAGAAGAAGCACCTCACCATACTGAAGCTGGAGTGAGCACACCTGGACACACTCAGCGGGAGCAAACCATGTCACTTAATTAGGTGTTTTAGAAGGAGAATTACTAGGTGTGAAGTGCAGACGATATTTGCCACATTGTGAGCTCTGTTCTCTTCAAAGATTTAGAAGTGATAATGTTTTTGAAGTTGGGAAAAGAGGTAACAAAAACTTCACAGTGTGATGGAAGACATCTTTTGTCTTGCTATGATATGGATTAGTACAATATTCCAATATGGCCATTTGTTGTTTACCAAACACAATAAGAAGGAAAGAAATGCCACCAATAACATTTCGACAAGGTACACCTGCCAGTTAAACTACATCATGAAGCTGATTAAGTGTAAACAGTAGGTGCATTAAGGAATCAATTATGAACAAATACCAGCAGCACGATTAAACAAGATACTGCTACCAATGCACCTCTAAGCACTACATAATATTAATAATATCTCCATTATCAGTCAACTGGATGTGGATATACAAGCACTAAGACATTTGGCTGAGAACTATCTAGGCAGATACCTGTCTTTCCTTTTAAACACCTCAGTCACCATCTGTTCTGGCCTGTGCTTAGATAAAATCCAAAAACATCTGACATATCTGCAAGACAGAAATCCAACCAGACAGAGATGGGCAGATGAACATTCTTCATTTCATTTATAATTAAACCAGATCCAGTGTGCTATATTTGAATGAGCATGAATCATCAATCTGGGTTTGTCTTGGCTTACATGTGAAGTGAGCAAACTTTTCACATCGTGTCCCGGGTATGAACTTTTATTAGCATCTGCATCTCCTCCCCTCAGTAGAGGAGTACTAGAAGCCTAAAACAGACTTTTACTTTACAAACCACATACTCAAAAGGTACTGGGGTTGAAACTGTGGCAGACTGAATATTCCACAAACACATATGTCTGCATACTGGATAATGTTCTAGCTTCTTCTTGATAGCTTGAAGGTGCTATACTCCTGTAAATAATAGCAACAACTCCACAGAGCAAGGCAGACCCTTCAACAATATAAAATCACAAGACTAAAGCATTAAGCTTAGAGACACCAACGAACACACAGGTGCTTTAATAACCAACCTGAGATAAAGTCTACTTTGAACATCATATCCTACAGTATGTACGTGTGTAGATCAGCTCAAACTCACAGCAAGGAAGCAGGTAATTTATAATGACAGAGGGCTCTTTTCATTCTCTGGGCTCTTGCCTGTCCTTAATTATTAAAAGAGGGGTCTTACCACCTGCCTCACTCTGTCCAGTGTTTGATGCCTCTTAAATGTGGGCCTGCTGACAGATTAAGACCAGGAGCAACATGTGTGTATGTGTGATGCATGTAACGGCCTATGACTGCTGATGCTGATAACAATACTATTTATGAAACAGTACATTCAACGATCCTCACTAATGAAATGTACACAGTCCTGCTTATAAATAAAATCCTTTCATATGGCATCAAATAAACTACAGCTTTTAGTGGTGGGTGTATGAGTGCATGCACATTATTGAGCACAACCACTGCCATGTGCAAGATTTAATACATGACTGGATCAAAAACCTTTAAAAAGATGACAGATATAAGAGTCATTCTCACCCAGAGGTTACAGAATGCCTCCCTTCATTTCAGCCACAGAGCGGTGTGGGTCACTGTTTCATAAGTGGACGTATGTCAGATGTGTAAACTTTGAGCTAAAAATGCAGGAGTTTTATGCTATAAAACTATAGAATCTTATTTGTTCCAGTCTGGTTTTGGGCACAGAAAATAAGCTAGCCACATGAAGTGTCTGAACACTTGAATCTCCTGCTGCTGTTTAGGATGAATCTCTAAAAGTTGCTCATTCTTGTTGGTATAAAGGCCGCTAAAATATGCGAGTATATGATCCTAAATTAAATCATGTCACATGAGGACCAGGTAAAGTTTAAAATTATTCACACTATTACAGCTTTGTGCAATTTTGAGTCACTCACATGCAAAGCTGCATTGTGTATACAGTAGGTTTGAATAAAGCAGTGTGTTGGCAAAACTTTCACCTAGAACAACATGTAAATCCTAACACACACCCACACCGATTCGTCTACTCACAGTTGCCTGTGTCCGAGCATTATACTCAGCCTCCATCTTAGTCAGTCTAAGGTTGGTGTCCTCCAGCAGTTCCTGGATGTTCTCTGTGTGTTTCTTCTGCAACTCAAACTTCTCCTGCTCCATCTCTGTCACAGCAGCATGCAGCTGGAAGGGCAGAGGATAGCTACATATCAGTAATATGTGTTTCAGTTAGGTCCTTCTTTGCTATTTTTGTTTCAATTGTCATCATTTTGCTCATTCGGGGGTAATAACCATCATGGCTACGTAGTCATTTTTTATTACAGCTGAGAAAAAATTGTTCCACAAGGTTGCTCATCACATGAGAGATTAGTGGAAATTTTATTAGAGTCCCAACAGCCCTGTTAGCTATCAGGAGTGAAATCCTGGGAAGTGAGCAATCATTTCTCAACACTAAAAACCCACTCCAGCCTAAATACAGCATGAAAGAACAAAGACTGTTTTCTAACAGCATGGCAGAGCCTGGCTGCTTGCAGCAGAGCCCGCTAGTCCTCATGCTATCAAATCATCTTTCTCTGGCTCAGGGCTGCTTACAGGGGGTTGGGCTGCACAATATCCAAGCCCTTCAACTTTTCCTTCATACCTTCTTCTCCCACTCATTTTTCAGGGAGTCGACGCTCTGATCCGACATCTTCTTCAGCTCAGCAATCTGCTTCTCTTTGCTTTCACAGATGACCTGGGATTCCCGCAACACAGTTTGAACTGTGGGAGAGCACACACACAAACACCAGTCAGGCCCCTGCCTCAGGATATGCACACAGACACACACACACACACAGACATAACTCATGCTCAGTGATGCGCCATCAGTAAAGCAATGTCAAAGATACTGCTTCTGTCAAATGGCCAGTATTATTTCTCTTTGCCAAGTTTGTACATTTCTCACCAAATGTGAAAGAGCAGAGAGCACGAGCAAGAATGAGGAAATGAAGCATGAAGAACAGGGTACACATTATGTTATTAAACTTTAGATTGAGCTGCACAGCTGGAGAACATCACTCTACACCAGTGGACTCTCTTGTGGAATTGTATCTTTTTGGGCTTTTTCCTCTGAGTGTTCAGAGACATTAGTATAAACATCCTTCCAGTTAACCCTGCAGTCTTGTGACCTCTGACCTTTCTTCTCCAGCTTACGGATCATCTCCTCCAATTCCTTCTGCTTGGCCCGGTACATGCTCTTCATCTCCTCAATCTCACCGTTCTTTCGGTCCAGAATCTAAGGAAGGAAAAGGGGAGGGTGACTGTTTTTGAATATTTGTTGGAGAATATTTAGCTTTTTTTTAACAGCTGAGAAAAGTTATCTAACATTTATTCTTATTCAATTGGCTGAAGTGTTTTACTTTCACCAGTCACTATAAAACCATCAATAAACAAGTGTGATACGCAAAGTTTAGCTACAATCCTTGAATCTAACAAACTACAGCGCTAGAGCCTGCTATCAACCTTTAACTACTTGTGTGCCAAGAAATGCAGAGATGTGCCAGACACAAGAGGGAAGAAATGTTTGTTTCCAAGAAGCCGCCTTTAAATTGAATGACAAGTCATTTAAAAAGGGCACTAATAGCAACTAACAAAAACTAAATCTAACTTATCAATCAATCATCTTTGTGAATTGTAACAAAACAGCTATTTATTCTCAATTATCACAGTCTGACAAATACAAAATGGTGTTTCGGCTTTAGAATGAACTCTTCAGATATGTACACTAGTTGATATCAACTAAATATAGTGAAAATAATAAACATTAGGTTATTTATAAAGACAGTGAACATCTGAATGCATAATTCAATGTATGACCTGAAAAGACTTCATCATCCATATGTATATCTACAGCTACGGGCTAATTGAGTCAAATGCAACTGAGTGAACCACCTGTGCTGAGGTGTGTTGAGGTAACTACATCTGCTGCCATCTGTGAGCAATTAGTTAAATTGGGCCATGGAGAGTTGGAGCTCCAGTATAAAATGACAGTCCAGCACTCCCCATGTTCAATAAGAAGGTTTCTTGGCTCAGCTGCGTAATGCGCATACTGTAAATAATGTATGTACATTTACAAACAGGTCCTAAACAAATTCACAAGGGTGGTTTTCATCCCAGACAATTTTGTTTTTTAATTACAGACAATCCAGTTGTCTGTGCACTGTACAGATAAGATGAATCTGCAGTTGACTGTCCTAGTGACTGCACTCTCACAATAAAATTAAATACCTAAACTAAACCTATTTTTAAGCATGACTTATAAAGGCATTTGTATTTCCCACCTAATTAACAAGACATAACAAACAAACTAGTTCGACAGATGATGCTGTGATTTTCTGGCTGAACTGGCAGAAAGTGGTTATTTTTCCATCAAGAACAGTTCCAGCATTGTGTTCTACCCAGGTGCACTTAGAAGCCAGGCCTGATATCCTCTATATGAATGGGATGGGGGAGATGAAAGGAGGATGGGGCAGTTGGAGCAAAGTCCACAGATCATTTAGGGATACCTAATTTTTTCCATTTCACCAACCCAGTGTTTTCTTTTCAGGGGTTGACCAAGTGAGGCAAGGACACAGTGTCCAAGGTCCAAGAAGAGTGCACTAGACAGTGGGAAATGGCAGCTTTTAGGATGCCCATTTACAGCTTTTACGAGACGTCCTAATGCAGGGGAATCCAGTATGGCTGTACCTGGCTTTAGCCAGCACTATCACTGAATAAAAAAAGAGAAGTGAACCACAGGAAAAAAAACCCGACAATTACAAAATCTGCAGTTAGAACATGAGTATATACTTTCTGTAAATGCAGGAAAATGGAAACTAATTTCACAACAAAACCACAAACAAAATTTAATCCCCATGGCAATTAAAACAAAATACATTTAATGGTGGCCTTCTAGTGTTTCCTGGCGTACCCTGTGGTTTACCATTAATATCAAATTATTTGCATGTAAAGCAAAAGAACATAAAGCTGTGCTTCTTCAAATGAGGTTATTAAATGTTTCAAAACTACACACAGTACTGATCCACAGCCATTAGCATACAACACTCTGGACCGTTCTGTCATTACCCTCTCTAATTCAAGTAGGGCGACAATGACCGGTAGCTTTCAGCAGCCTATACACTATTCATAAGGAGCCTAATTAAAGCCAACTTGCCCACCTTCTATCAGGCTCATCAGAGTACACCCCACAATCACTTTCATTTGAGGCCATTAGAGGGAATACTGGGCAAAATTCTGAGGAAATTTAATCGGACATAACTCACAATCTGTATGTAATTAAAGAGAGAGAGAGAAGGAGCAAAAGCTAGCTGTCATCCTGTCTCGTGTCAAACACAAAGACGCCACGGGCATCTTAAAATTGGGAGTGTTTTTCTCTGTTTTATTAAAAGCTTCTGTGGCAGCAAAGGAAAGTCATGACAGATCCCAGGTGCTTGATCTGCAGCCTAACTGATGGGCACCTAGTGTGAAATAAACCAGCTTTACTGCTATTTTCACCAGCTGACAAAGAGCTCTGAAGAGATGATTATTTGGATTATGGGGCGATGAAAAGGTGAGAGGCTCGTTCCTTTCCTTTTCATTAGCCACCAAACAGAATCAAGACTCAGTGATAGGTACTGTAACACAGGTTAACTAGTTTTCAAGAGCTCTGTTGAAAAATTTGAAACTCTTTGTGTTATTTCTCAATATAAGATGCTAAGTATAAAGAGTCTGCAAACAGTTATCAGTCATACAGTGGACATTATACTGATACCAGCCTATTTTAGACATGCACTAGAGACTCTACAGCACTACTGGATGCTGGCTGTAAAAATAAACTGAACTATGATTATTTTTATTTTAAAAATCTAAGGTTTACTATTCATATTATACTATTCATCCCATTTACAACTGGCCAAATTCATTCTGTAACCTGTTCTTATGTTGCCACAGCTGAGTGTTTTTACAGGAAACTATATCAATATAAATTCTGAAATTGCTCACAACATAAAATCAGGGGTCAGCTGGTATTTTACCACTTTTCTTGCAATGGAAAGGAGAAAAAAAAAATGGCTATGAATCTTAAGAATATAGTCATGTTTTTCAATGATGCCTCTCTAAAGAAAACAAAGATGTTATTGTGTAGAGGGTGACAGGCTCCGCCATTTGGGTCTGGAGGAGGTGGGACCCGGAAACGGAATGTTACGTCAAACTTAAAAGCATAGCCAGAAATCAAACAATGGTAGCGGGTGATGGCAGAATATCCACCACCTTCAGTTTTCATTCTTACTTTCTCAACATCTGCATCATGACTCTGTTGCATCTTTAGCTTCTCCTCCTGGTGCTTGGCCTCCAGTACTTTGATCTTCATCTCAATCTGGAAACACAAAGAAAACCAAATGTCATATTTGTAATACCAAGAAATATGTTTAACTCCCTTATGATTCTGTTTTTATTCAATATATGGAACGAAGTTGGTAAGCAAACAACACCTGGATAATGAAATATAATTTATTATGAGGAAACATGAGCAAAAAATGTGTTCTAGGAAGTTAAGCATTGAGATCTGTGTCCCAATTGTTTTTTTTAGAGATATGCTATGGAAAAAAGCGTCATCGTGCAGAGTGACAGGATAACAGAGATAACAAATCTGTATGACTGGATGAAAGAAGATACACTGTGTTCCGACTTGCACACAAGCGCAGCTGATGATGAAATAAGCCACATTAACATTTAAAAACATTTATCCACGCACGGCGCTTCAAAAACCTGTGTGAAGTTGAGATGTACTGAACTGGGTATGAGTTTGTGTGTGTGTGTATGTTTGTGATTAAATCTTCAGTTAGAGTCTATAGCGAGCACAACAAAGTGAAAGCCTTTGTGTGCGCTTCTGCATACAGATGGCAAGCCAGCTTTATTTATATAGCACAATTCAAGCAGAGGCAATAAGCAATAAAAATCTAAATAAAATACATTTAAACTAAAGTTAAAAAATGCTAAAATTAAATAAAATATAATTCAAATCAAATACAAATAGACTAAAGCCCTTTTCAGACATGGGATATGCAAAGCTTCATCAATCTCATAAAGTGACAGCTTTCTGTCATTCAAACATAGGTCACTTTGACGTTAACATTCCTTCATCCTGACATGGTACGTGCACAACATCTGGCTTACACATGAGACTGGACAGCACATCAACTGATGTTTAACGTATGAGCATGGATATATTAGTAGCTTTCATAACACATTCATGTATATGAGGCCAGAGTTTAATTACTACAACATGGTAGATGAATGCCAGTGTGTTTCAGAATTTTTTTTGGAGTGTGTAGGGCGTTTTCCCCCTTATTAAACGAAGCAGACATTTGAGTGTTCCAGCTGTCTAGCCTAAAGTTAGATATACGTGTCCGAACCTGACCCGGACCCGAACATAATTTCTAAATTTCTGTCCAAACCCGGCCCAAACCCTCAGGTACCAACACGTCCTGTAGTCCTGACGAGGACTGTAGGTAGCATTAATAAAACAACACTGGTTTATCCTCTGGTGAGTGTGAAAGTGCTTAGAGATTTATATGACAATCCTTATTTTGTGGCCTGTGCTTGGTGTAAGCATATCAATCATAATAGACATAACAAACACCCATTTTAAAGGCCTTTAATTAAAATGCATTTTTTAGGATCCTCGGCAATTTAGCTTCTATAACTTCTTTAACCTCTTTTCATTCTTTTATTGTTTTGACTTGGTGTGCTGTATTTGTTTTGTTTTTTTAAATGTGTTCCTCAGCCTTTTCTCACTGCTTTCTCTACTAGTTTGCTACACACTAAACACAAGATGTTTCTACTCCCAAACACATAACCCATGGAAATGCAAACAGAACCTCTTACAGAAAGCTGACTGGCTATTCGCTTTGATGTCAGTACTCATGTTTAGTCACTTTCTGTTCTAGTGTTAATCAACCCTGGAGCGGGGTGACAATTTTCCTCCTTTAAAAGCCAGGTTGTGTGTGTGTGTGTGTGTGTGTGTGTGAGAACATGTCAGTGGTTAAAACATCCCAAGGCTGGCTCTTATTTGTTGTAGTCATCAAAACAATTAAGTTGAAAATTCCCACGGCATTACTTGGCACAGTAAAACCACATCAGACCTTTTCTTGGTATGAATCAAAGGAAAGCAACTGATGACTGTCCAAAAATAATAGTCTTATTTTACAGTATGGTTGAAAAGTATAAATAATGATCCAATACAATCAAGACATCAACATCATACTGGATGTTAGAAATGTGTATGTTCCATGCTTTGAAACTGAAATGGTGGAAACCATAAAACCCAGAGCCTAGATTTTGTTAACATGCCTGCAGTTCACTTTAGACTTTGAGCACTGATTAAAAAAAGCCTTCCAGGTGCTTTTCTTCATTATTGCACTTGAGCTACATTTGACAAAGCTTGAAGCATTCTGCCTTTTTATCAGTCTTTTTCTTGATTTATCACCATTTCTTGTGCAATTCAGGGGACCACAGGAGACCTGTCAGAGTAGACAGCAAAGTGTGAGAAAGGCATAGGGAGAGAGAGGATAGT